GTCTTGCTCTGTCACCCAGGTTGGAGTGCAGTGGCACAATCTTGGCTCACTGCAACCTCCATCTCCTGAGTTCAAGCAATCCTCCCACTTCAGCCTCCTGAGTATCTGGGACTACAGGTGCGTGCCACCACACCCAGCTAATTTTTTCTATTTTTAGTAGAGACAGGTTTCCCCATGTTGGCCAGGCTGGTCTCAAACTCCTGAGCACAAGTGATCCATCCACCTCAGCCTCCCAAAGTGCTGGGATTATAAGTGTGAGCCACCACACCAGGCCTCAACACTATTTTTTTTTTAACAGAAAAGATTGTTTGCACCTAGACTAGGACCAACTCTACAGGAGTCATTTCACTCTCAGAGGTGCAAAACACTGCCCAAAGGTACTTGGCCTAACACCAAAACAGCACCTGGAGCCAAGCCTCAGTGAAGACAGTGCTTGCTGTTCCTACAGCAGAACACCGTCACAGCCATCACACTAGCCAGGAAAGCTGACGACTGCTGGATAAAACGTTCAAAATCCAGAATCCTGAGCTATACTTTCCTTTCACTCCAGTTGGTTCTTTATTTTTTTACTACAGTGGTATCAAGCTATCTGTGAATGGCCTCTTTTGTGAATGATTTCATTGTTCATTTTATTCTATTTGTTGCAATTCTTGGAACTCCTATCAGCCATTTCATTGAAACTTTGCACTTCCTTAAAGGAAAATGACACAACTCAATACATTAGAATCAGTGTGGGTGAAAGTCACAATAAGAATAATCTCCCTTTGACCTGGCAAAATTTAAACAAGTGTCCTGTGGAATATGAAGATGTACCTTTAACATCCACTGTCTTTTTTTTTTTTTTTTTGAGACAAAGTCTCACTCTCTCACCCAGGCTGGAGAGCAGTGGCATGATCTTGGCTCACTGCAACCTCCGCTTCTTGGGTTTAAGCTATTCTTGTGTCTCACTCAGCCTTCCAAGTAGCTGGGATTACAGGCACACCCCAGCATACCCAGCTATTTTTGTATTGTTAGTAGAGATGGGGTTTTACTGTATTGGCCAGGCTAGTCTTGAACTCCTGACCTTAAATAATCCACCTGCTGCGGCCTCCTAAAGTGCTGAGATTACAGGAGTGAGTCACCATGCCTGGCCATGACATCCACTGTCCTTACATTCACTCCACATCCTCCATTTCATGGCAAGCTAGGTTCTTCCTAAATGTTGTTAGTGCCTTGGACTAGTATGAAAAATTACTTTTTGACAATGTAATAGATTTCTCCCAACTTTTCTTGGCTGACTTCTTAAAAAGCAGAAGCAGAATTATCATTATGCTCTCAGGAAGAGCTATTTATGTAATGCAACACAATTCTTCTCTATAGTAATTCTGCTGCTAAAAATAGTCTATTCTAGAAGGTAGCGCCTCTTTTTTTCTAGCGTGACCATATTTATAGACATGTTAAATGCCTTTCTTAGTATCTCAAAATAAATCTCTGTAATCCCAGCACTTTGGAAGGCTGAGGCGGGGGGATCACGAGGTCAAGATATCGAGACCATCCTGGT